AAAGACAGAAACCTGCAAGACGATCAGCCTTAATTGATAAGGTTTAATCTTGCCCGACCTGCTTTGCTCTGTCTTTGTCTTCTCTTTCTTTAAAGTCTAGCAATATGTTGTATATTTTTAGTTATATGCAAGTTGTTTCTAGCAAAATCACGATGACAAAGCTTTCTCAATACTTGGATCCGATTTAAATATATCTTCAATGCTTAAATCAGATCCAAGTCCTAAGCCTGCAGGCATATGAATCTGATTAGTTTAAAAGTCCTTGGCCTCAAGGCATAAAAAAGAACTTTATGTGGACTTAACCCATCCACGACAATCCTTGATAAACGAGAAGTCCGAAGTTACTTGGGGCGCAAGTAATCGACCTACCTTCTAGTTTTCTTTCTATTATATCATGATTATCATATAACGCTTAAGCATGGGATGGACTCTAATGGGAAGCCTCAAGGCCTACACCTAAGGCCTCACAAAGGCATCCATTTGGATTCATCCCATTCAGCGATCTCAAGAGTCTAAGTAAAGAATGAACTCTGATGGGAAGCCTCAAGGCCTACACCTAAGGCCCCACAAAGGCACCCATTTGGGTTCGTTCTATTCCTTGGATTCGGGTAATCAGAAATATAATAGTTAGAAAACTCCTACAATCACGAGAATAAATATGATGCGTTCGAGCACTGGTTTAGTTATTGATGGGAAGCCTCAAGGCCTACAGTTAAGGCCCCACAAAGGCACCTATTATAACTAACACGGTTTCTTGGATACATACATATATACAATGAAAGAACGACAACCATTTTACATCTGCCATGCTAAAGATGGCAGTGGCACGCCTGAGCACCTAAATGTTAACCTTGATTGTGAGCCTCAAGGCCTATACCTAAGGCCCCACAAAGGCACCTCTCAAAGTTAACGTTGTCCTTCTCTTTCAGCCCTGCCCGAAGAGCCTTGCCCGAAGAGTCTTGCCCGACGAGACTTGCCCGACAACGCCCAGAAACGAAGCAGAAGCCCGACAGCAGCCCTCAACCGGCGCCAACCTCCAGGGGAGCTGTGTGCTCGTCGGCCAGGAAACATCCCCAACGGAAATTCCTGCCACGAACAGATTTTACATTGTCGACATCATACCACTGTCAAACATATGATATTTTTTATCAACGTGACAAAAACATTAACTTACAATCACACGTTTATCAGAGCTCAATTAACAACAATAATTAGCAAGTAACAGTAACTTCACAAAAAAAAATGTATTAATTTATATCATATTGATTCTCTAATACAGATGGATTTACTTGAGTCTCGTCTTGACTAGAATTATGATTAATATAGTGTTTGATAATGGTGGTTTTGGGCATGTGCAATAAGTGCCTTTGTACAAGGCCTAAAAAATGATATCATCTACACACGCTCTGTATTGAGAGGGATCACTTCACATCAAACTTTAACGATTTAAACCGTCTATTTTGTATGTCTCACTTCGTAGATCATCATTGCAAAAATTCAATTCAATCCTAAAATCATTTGTCCATTTAGTCCACGATGAAATTTCAATGTTTCTTAGACTGTAGTGTTCGTTAATTTCTTTTAACTCAATTAGATGCCTCAAATATTTCTGATTTGGCTAATATTTTTCAAAGATGATCAATAAGGTGCAACTTGAAAAATAGATTGTTCGAACAGTGTAGCGGGGGGGGGGAAGGGGGGTGGGGGAGGGGGGCACAAATAATCCCCATTTAAAAAAAGGAAAACTAATGAAAAGGGTTTGAAAACTTTGAGTTTTAATGATAAGGACAAAATAAAGGGTAAAATGAATAGTACCAGGTTTGACTTTTTAGTGTAAAAATATGGGTTTTCGTTAAAGTGAACAGTACCGTGAGCTTTTCGTTAAAACTCTCTTTAAAAAAATGGGGATCTCTTCCTTTAAAAGGCTCATATCATCTACATATGGATCAACTTGGTTTGTGGCAAAAACAGCTTCACCTAGCTTGGAGAAAATTTCTAAGTTCTGCACGTGAAATAGTGAAATATGGCCTCCATATGCATAAGAGAAATCACCTTTTTAGTTTGGTTCCGACTTTGATCTATTTTTTTTTTCTTGATGTTTGTTGACTTGAATTATAACTCAAGCAATAATACTCTATTTAGATTCCTTATTAATACAACTGGAGACATATAAATTAGCATTGTAATAAGAATTTTATACAATGACCTATTTACTATCTTCTGCACAAGACTCTTAAAACTCAACGTCGGCCTGATATTTGATTGTTGAGACGAACATCACTATTAACCTAAAATGCCAATTACGTGATTCAATCTGGTTTTCTGGCCAAATTGGACGTTGCTGCAATTCAACCTCGGATTTGGACATGCACGCCCACGTACCGTGAAACACCACCATGTAAAGGCACGAATAATATTCTCACCGATCACCATGCATGTTAAGAAGTTGCAGTCATTGCAGATCCAAACAATATACATTTAAACGTTCCAGTAGCTTTTAAATTTAATAATATTGATCACATGATGATTTTCTCGTACTATGCAAATTGCGGTCCACTCACATCTCCGTCACACTTTCCTTCGCCATTTTGGAATAGAATATAATAATTGAATAACAACTGTACTTTTGTGATTTGTTTGGTTTATAAGAGATTCTTCACTACGTAGGATGAAAAGGAAAATTGAACACTCGCAGAAGAGCACCCATATGATCACTAGCGGATCCATTAAAGGGCAAGGAGGGTCAGCGGATCTTCCAAACTTCGATAAACGTCCATAGATACCTTAGGTGTGGATCTTCCGAACTTCGATGAACGTCCATAGATACCATGAGTGTTGCCCTTTTAAAGATTAGAGTTGGCATCATACTTGCCCTCCAACCGACTTCAGGCCTACCAAAACCCGATGAATGTCCATGAATACCTTGGGTGCTGCCCCTTGCATACATTAACATGTTTGTAGTATGCATTTTCAAATGATTTCAGGTCTACCAAAACTCGATAAAATGACGATATACATGCTATTTCTGGTATAAAAAAATTTGCTCGTTGCGCGCTATTATTACTGACCCCCTAATATTATTTCCTGTATCCGCCATTGCATATGATATGTCGTTCCGTACTCTCACTTGGAGATGCTTTCTTTCTGTGATAGAACGTGAGCTAACTGTTCAAAAGTTTGGGAAGTTGAGAGCTAACTATTCAACGTCTAGTCTTCCCCATGGCCAAGGCTGTTTTTCTTGTTTGTATTATGATTTTTATATTCAACATGGTTTCTCAAATCAAGGTCGAGAACCGTCTGTAGGATCACGAGCAAATAAATGCTTGTGAGAGAATCGAAAAGCTTAAAAATTACATTCTTGGATCTCAGAAAATCTTGATTGATTTCATGCCAATTATAAAATATATATAGAGGTATTTGTCGATTCCCCCAAATTTGTAAAGAGTTGCTAACTTTCTTCCAAAATTTTAATTTAGCCGATTATTTTCATGAACTTTTATAGTTAGATAACCTCTCCCCTGACCCCCCAACTTTAGATTTTGAAAATTTCCAACACAATTTTCTATCAATTTTGGTCACATGGCAAATGTTTGATGGCAATAAAGTAATTTTGTCCTTAATGTGGACAACAAATTATTTTTTCTTTTTCTTATTCTCTTTTGATAGTTGTTTTTTTTTTGTTTGAATTAGTCATGGGAGTCCAATTAGTAACTGCAAAGTTGGGCTCTGCGCCCAATTTACCAAAAGAAAAGTACATTTTTGCTCTCATATAATTGCCATGTATTATTATCTACATGACCAAGATGGATGGAAAATTAGATGAAAATTTTCAAAAAATCCAATGCTAAAGTTGGGGGGGGGGGTGGAATTGCCTATTTATAATAAGTTAAGGTGGGTAATCAGCTAAAATTAAAGTTTAGGAGAGAAATAGGTAATTCTTTACAAATTTGAAGAATTAATCGACAAATAGGTCAATATAAATATTCAAAGACATACTAGTTTTTTCGTATATAGCAACGATACGAAATACACAAGGTTGATGAATCTACTAAAACTCACTCATTATTGTCCACAACCAAGGGTAAAATAACAGAAATTATATAGTTCGAATATGTTCATCAAGTTGGCATAACAAAGACAAACATTTATTCGTACACTTACTCATGTCTTCGGTTGTTTCCATTTCTCAATTTTTTGTTTTACAAGAAAAAGGGTCTGTTTGTTTCTATCTTCTATCTGGCAAGCAAAGAGAAAAGGGTGAAGAAATGAACTAGGTCAAATTTGGGACATTTGGTTTTGGGCTTCAGTGAAAATTACAGACCCATATGAATAATAATGTGGGCCGACTCAAAATTCAGGTCTTAACCCATTTAAAATTTTAGGCCTTCCAAGCATACGCGGGCTTCTAAATGACCGAGGCCCGCTAGACATAGGCTGAATTTTCAAGCCCAACTCAAGAAAAAGAGTGTGTTTGTCAGGAATCTAGAGGTCTGTTTGGTACTCTACTTGAATCCAACTTTTTAAATTCAAAAACCAGTCTACTGCTGAAAGGATGGAAAATGTCACATATGGTAAAAAGTGATGCATATGAAAAAATGGCACTGAAGAAGTCACCGTCAGCCATGGCTAATCAATGCAGGCTCTCGTCGAATAATTTATTTTAAAGTAATGTTATATTTACTATTTACTTGTACCATCTTTCTAATAGAGCTAGGGTTCGCTAACGTATGCAGATCTCATCTTCATCAGAGAAGTAGTAAAAATGATGGTAAGGATAACATTCTTGTTTCTTTTAACGTTTTTCAGTTTTGTAAACTTCAAATCAAATTTTTATAAACTTTATCTAACGAAAATTTGCTTTGGACCCTCACTTGTTTCCTTTAGGTTAACGTTTTGTTTTGGGCTTTTTTGTTAAACAAAATATAAGCCCAAATCATAACCTTCGCACAAAGAAATTGAAATTTCATACAAAATCCCGTATATAACCCTCGTTCTCTCTCTCTCTCCCTCTCCACTTTTCAACTTGATGATCCGAAGACTTTGACCCCACCGACGCGACTTCTCCGCCATGGCGATCCAGTTCAAATTCAGAAGCTCCGTCAACTTCGATTCCGTCGCCATCGACGGCCGAGCCTCCATCTCCGTTCGCGATCTCAAATCCAAGGTAATTCGCCACAAGAACCTCAACCTCTGCCAAGACTCCGATCTCCTCTTCTCTGACGCCGTAACCGGTCAAGGTCAACTCTCTCCCGCCCTTTATCTTTGTCAATAGCGTTTTTAGCTTTCAGTTTCTTGTTTTGTGTTTGGTTGCAGAGAAAAAATCGATTGAGACGTTACAATTGGACATGAAGTATTTTGGAATCGTGTTTTTGTCCGTTTGGTTCGGAAACGCCTTAAGAATTACAGTTTTTGTGTTTGGTTGCATGGAATTGGAATTAGGGTTTATGCATATTGTTAGCTAAGTTTTCATATGCCTTCCGGTTTCGGATTGATTGCAGAGTACAACGACGAGAATATTCAAATTCCGTGTGGTTCAAGCGTGATAATTAAGAGAGTTCCTGCAGGATCAGTACATGTGGATCTGTAAGAAATCTATCTATATGCTTTATAGAATCCATGCACGTTTTTTATTGGGATGCATATTAATTGGCGATGAAAGTTTGTTTATTGTCTCGGAATTTCGATTTATTTTTATGATTTTTTTACAGGCCTCACTTCAACTCGTGCCCGAATCTTCATAGCAAGGACTCTGTCGACGATAAATCACTTGTTGCAGCGGTTTGTTTCTTAAACATTGCGCTCGCATTTGAAGTTGCAGACTTGCATTTGGATGGTTCTTAGTCACATTTGAAGCTCTTGTTATATGTTTGCCCGATTGTTTATTTAATTTCTCTTATGTCTTTGGTGTTTCGCAGAATGCTGAGACTGTTGACTTTGATGACTTTGGGGTTGACGTGTATCCCATTCCTAAAGAAACCGTTTTCAGTTCTGATTTGGATCCAGACAAGGATGACTTCATCTATGATTATCAACCAAATAGCGATAACTGCATCACAAGGTTTGATTGGTTCTTTTAATATGTATTCCCTAATGGTGTATGATTGTTTATTTTAAGACTTCAGATATATGAATGTTCGGTAAATATTTGGTATTTATGCTGTGCACGATTTCAATTTGTATTAGGTATTCGGAGCCCGCTGTGAGAGGATGCCTGAAACTTGAAGCAAGTGGCATTAGTGATGCTATTCCAGGAGGTATGTGCTTCGATTACAAAGCTTCAGGGGTTAGGCCTATGTTTGTTACTTGTATTAGTCTTTTCATGGGTTAGGCCGATGCTTACCATTCTGAATTATTTTATATAGGTCATGCACATAGTGGAGTTGAACAAATCATAGTGCCTACAAAATCAAAGCCTGAAGAAGATGACATGAATGTGGAAAGGTAAGACGTGCATTTGTTGTATCTGTCTTATTGTTTTTCTGGTTCTTCGGTCTCAATGGTCTGACTTGTTTTATCTCTTGTAAATGAAGGGTGGGCAGTGCGAATCCCCTAGATACAGGGCATGCTAATTTGTCAACAGAGCTGAAATGCTCTCTATGCAATGCATATTTCAAGGAGGCTGTGATGATACCATGCTGCCAGCACAGTTTTTGTGAGAAATGTAAGTCTATGGTCTGATAGGTTTCCATCTGATACTTTACCGTTGGATAGTTTTTGTGAGAGATGGGGTGTTATGTATTAGGATAGTTTTTGTGAGAGATTGTGTGTTAGGTATTAGTAATTCTGGGCTGTAATCTGAATGTGATAACTTATGCACATTTTTGTGTTCAGGCATTTCTCAAGTGTTGCGAGAAAAGTCCAGATGTCCCAAGTGTTTTTCGACCAAATGCAGAGTAGAAGATTTGCTGCCGAATGTTTCTCTTAGGCAAGCAATTGAGCATTTCCTAGAATCCCAAAATTTAATCACTGCTCCAGATAATGATTGTTGCCAATATGCTCCAGGTAGGAGTTTCACATATGTTTATTCTGACCTACCTTAGCCCCGCTATTGTGTTTAACTAGTTATTAATGTAAAAACAGATGGAGAATCTGGAATTCAAGCCAAAGATGTGTCTCGCGGCAATAATTTTTTACAGAGAGAGCCAGAGGTGCCTCATTCTCCTGAAACAGGGACAGGATCTAATCATTTCTTCGCAGAATCTGCTTTTAACCCTCCTTTCAAAAAAGATGTTAAACCTGCAATCCCGAAACAAAGGCCACCTTGGGTTTCTTCAGAAGGTAGTATTTAACTTGGTCCTTTGTGACATTGCTGGAACTTTATCCGATTCTTGTTTTGGCATGTATCACCTTTTCTGACATTCTTGCTATTTACCAGGTTGTGACAAGAGCTTCTTGGAGACTGGAAAGCACAGAAAGGTATCCATTGTGAAAGTAGATGTGAAAATTCTCTTTTTTTTTTTGTTGGAACAAACTTCTCGCAACTCATTGTCTGAGAACTTCTTTTAGGTTCCAAGTGCTAAGACAACAAATGCTATTTTTGGTTGTGACTTAAATTTTTTAATTTTTTGGTGTGCATTATTTGAATGTCTATACCTGTCTTTATGGGATCAGGGGAAACGTACCTGTTACATGTGTGGTTCTACAGACCATTTCATAAGAGACTGTCCAGTGGCTTCAAGCCCACATCCTATGCTTCATGCAGGTATGAAATAGGAGTTGCATGCATTAATTTGTAGTTGCTATGAACTGTTGCCTGTGATGCTTACTAATTTGTGGATTTCAGGAAATGCAATATTTCCAGGAGCCATGCCAGGTTATGTACCACCATATTGGAATGGAGCTCCCTCACCTCGTGCCATGCCCTTTAGAAATCCATATGGAAATCATGCGATGACGGCGTTTGGTGCAAATATGGTCCCTCCTGCTCCTTATACTATTCCTACATACATGCCATCAATGTATTACTCATTCCCTTCCTTTGGGTATGTTCATTTTCATCTTTAGCTGATTGCTGTACCTAAGAAATTCATTATTATCGGTCCTCAATCATGTGAAGTATTCTTCATCAATTGCATTATATTGACTTTGACACCAAACCATCTTGCAGTGGATACATGAGGATGAGAGGTGTTGCTCCTCTTCCAGGGACTAGCAAAGACTGCTATTTAAGTCATTCGGAATCCCTGGATCTTCATGGTGGGGAAAAGAGAAGAAAAGTTTCAAATGAGAATTTGAGGAGGTGAGTCGATATGTATCTGTGGTGATGCTGTCTTGATCTGAAATAATGTTTTGATTATAGAGTTAATATACCTGATTTTAATGACTAATGAGTGGTTTTGTCCTGCATCAGAGAACAATCTCATGATTGTGACGATGACGAAGACCATGATTTAAACGAGAGACATGGCTATGATGGGACAGAAAGACTACATGACCACAGATCTTGTATAAACAGGGAAAAGAGCATAAGTTACTCTGAGGAAGGCTCTACTAAAGGGTCCCAGAGGCAATATCGGCTTCATAATCACACAGATGATGACAGGCTCGCAGTTGATGGTCAGTGGAAGAGTTCGCGTTTGGTGGTTGATGGTAGAGCTCCAAAGCAGTATCATCGCACGGAAAGATCAAGCTCAGAATTAGACGATGTGCCAAGTAGCTCTGGTTTCCATGAAGAGAGAAAGAAACACCACCATAGGAGCTCCAGAAAGCACAAGGATCGAAGAGAGCAGTGTGGCAGTGATTCCAGTTGGAGTGATCATCGATATACCAAAGATGATAACAGAAAAGGGATCGAGCATGAATCCAAAAGGCAGAGTCAGAAATATCGCAGCCACTCAGGATCTGGTATGGATCAAAGTGGTTCCAGTGATAAGAAGTTGCAGAAAGAGAGCAGTCACAGTTCTAGACATTCTAAGCACAGTGGAAAGAGTAATGTCAATGGGCGGAGTCATGACAGGTGGAAGATGGTTAGTGGGTCGGATGAAGATTGTGGAGAAGGTTATCAGTATTCTAGACAGAAAAGAAAACACTAGAAAACATCCGGACTGGTTTGTGAGGTAAATTGTGTAGATGAAGTCGCATGTCTAAACTTTGATGTTCTATATGGTACTCTTTTGTTTCAGTTAGATTGTATTAATTTTGTTAGTTTTAGCTCCATTCTTGATAAACCTGCCTATACTTGTTGAAAGCAACATATTTAGCGCACAGTAAACTCGGACATGTGTAGGATACTTCTTGATCTAATGCCAATTGTCTGTTGGTTTTGTTGAAACAGATCTGATTGATTCGGCTTTTGGACAGTAACTGTTTGTTAATATCTGCTAACCCACCGCTTCACATTTTAAGCTTTGATCATAGATGGAGAGGCTAGCATACAAAAGTTTTAACAAGAGCAGCAATTGTTGATGTAGCCACAGACTTGTGTATGCTTTTTGCTCATACCGGAACTTACTTTCGCAGACTTGTTAAAGCCGGTTGAAGGTATGTTCCCTTTCAAAGGAAAAAAAGGTACAGAAACAGAAGCCCTAAAACCAGGGGGATTAGAACAAAGTGAGTTGGGTTTTGCTTTCTACACTTGGATTATTGTAAATATTTTTTTCAAACTGTTTGGAGTTTTCAGTTACCTTAGAATTTTTTTGGTCCGGACTTAATGTTAAAAACTGAAGATTATACTGCATATTTTGTGAATGTGTATTGATGAGTATAGTAAGAATTTCATGTTTTAGCGTCGGTTTCTCGGCCTGGTAAAGACCAATTTGTAAAGGGAATTTACATGCCAGATTCCGTCACTAAGGTAATGCGTCGCTAATAGTAAACTGTTTTTCTTTCTGTTTTCAGGTCAGGTATTTGCTTTCCTTCCCCAGGAAGATGCAATTGGACCCAATGCAGTCGCAACCCAACAGTCCAACGCAGCAATATTTACCAACTACTGCAAAATTAAGAAGCTGCAAAGAAAGATGTTGACATGAACTGCAAGTTTGCCACAAACTTATTCGATCGATCAAGGGCTCGATCGATTAAGGGCGATGGATACCCTGGTTCCTGCAATAAGAAGTGGTCGCGGAGATTATTTCGACTGTTCTCACTTATTCATGGACAACCAAAGCTAGACGAGAGGACTCGAAAATGGTTACGTTCTGGTTGCAGTGTCTCAAACTAATCATTCGACGCCGCAACCTTGGTGTCTCCATTTCATGCAGGTCCTTACAGGGACTTGACATGCATGGACACTGAACTTGAACTGAAACCCTAAGCAATTAAAATCACGAACTTATTAACAAGAAAAATTAAAACCTCGAACTTGTTAAACTGAAAAATTATAAATACGAAACCAGTGACAAAGATTAGCAAGTGCCCCCACTGGCGGCGGAGTTCCTTCCGCCGGTCGGGGTTTCTCAACCTCATAATGCCAAATATACCTGTCCGGGTAACGCACTCCTGGCCAGGCTCCGGTCATACAATCTTCGTTCACCCCGGTCATACAATCTTTGTTTGGGAAAACATGAGACACTATTCATCGAAGGGCTGATTCCGAAGAGCTTTTGAATTGGTTAAAAATGCTTTCAGATTACCAGAAACATTTTTTAGTGCTTTTCTGACGGTATAATTTCAAGTAAATTAGGGGTGGGCACGGTTCGGTGTGTTTTTGAGTGAAACTGAAACCGAAATTTTTTGCAGTTCGGTTCGGTGTGATTTTGAAGTCAATCGAAATGAAATCAAACTATTTGGTTTAGTTTGGTGCTGTTTCAAACTGCTTCAGTTCTGTTTTCAAGAAAAAATATACAATTTAAAATACGAGATGCTCTTTACCCCAAGCTTTGCATGAATGCAATCTACAACTTAAAAAAAAAAAAAAAAAAAAACTTATCTAAAAGAAAAGTAGTTTTTAGTAAGATCATAAATCAAAACTTGAAATGAAAGACATCATAACATATTATTAAGCATTTTCCAAGTGCTCCTAAAGGGTACAAGTTAAACATAAGCAGTAGCTAATCGAACCATTACAAAATGTCATCCTCATTAAAAACTAGTAAAAAGTCCTCACAGTGCAATCTTATTAGCTAGCTAGCTACCAATTGCCACGTAAAAATGTTAAGGCTTGGGAAGAAGAAATGCATGAACGGTTTGCAACTTTACATGCATATTATGTTCAGTAAATAACATGTATCAATGATCCAATATCATGGACTCAAAGTAGATGTATATTATAATTGCCCAGCAATCAGACTTGCATGGTTGTTCCCTCAAATTTATGAGGAAGCTATGCATTATTTCCCTTGCAATTTTGATTTCTCAATGTCCTTTGTGTGGAATATTTACCCATTGATCACATATCCAGTGTAGAACAATGCATTCAAGTGCCCACCCCTACTCATGAGTGGTGATATTATGTCGAAGAGAAAGAAAGTGATGACTGATGATATTCTAGTGTGGTTGGATTTATACTAAATGTATGAACTCTAACAAACAACTTATTAAAACATGACATCTAATATGGACATTTAATTAAATGCTTATTAATATTTATGGTGCGGTTCGGTTTCGGTTTCAATGCGGTTTTCAAAAGCCAAAATCGAAACCAAACCGTTTCCTACTTTGCGGTTCGGTTTCAAAACCAAAACCGTTTCCAAAACTGCAAAGTCGAATCATTCGATGCGGTCCAATTTGGTTCGTGTTTCGATTTCGGTTTTTGATTTTAAGTGCCCACCCCTAAGGAAAATCATTTGAACTAAGAGAAGAAAAGGGTAGTTAAAACTGACTTTTAAAGGTTCCAGATTCTTGTTTAACTCCTCTTCTTCTAGCCCCTGGCTCATTACCTTGTCAATCTTGGCTTTATATGCAACTGAAACGTGCTTAAATTTAAGAGAATACTCAATTTGTTAGTTGAAGAAAATGGTTCAATGACAGCCTTTCTTTTAACTTGTTGGCTCCGTAGTAAAAGTTAGCAAGTCTCAAGTTCGACCGGAAAAAAAAAACAAAAACTAATAAAAAGTGTTTCAAAACTTTATGTTTTAACAAAAAAATCATCCTATAACTTTATTTAATGATAAGAACAAGAGAAAGAAAAAAAAAACAAAAAACAAGAAAAACTTAAGTAAAGGCGCGTGCAAAGAGCATCCGACCAATCTTTCAATTTTGATATAATCTAAGTATATTTTATTCCTCCAAAATTAAAATTTCAAATTGAAGTGGGTTCCGTTTGATTCAGAACCAAATCTGGGGCGGTATGGTTGGGAGGGAGTCGGTCAAGTGTGGGTTGGTTGGGGCTAGGGGTGGGGCAACATCATTGACAACATCGTTGAATTCATCACCCATTTTTCTAGTAATGGTATTGAGCCATTAGCCATGCATGATTTTAACGACATGGAGGTTGACATCTATCATGTTTTTATTTATTTATTTTTAAATCTTTTTATTGCATTTTGGTGAAATAACTTGAAAATCTAGGACGACCATATGCTGTTAAGTTTCATAAACAGTATAGTATCGTTAAGTTTTATAAATAGCGTCGTACCGTTAAGTTTCATAAATAGTGTAGTACTGTTAAATTTCATAAACAGTGTAGTAAGTTTCCTAAACAATTTGTGTGAGGGGCGTGCGCGTTCGTGCGTCAGTTTTTTATTTTTAAATATTAAAATTATGTCTATTTTTTGTTATTTTTAATAAAATTTAAGAGTTTTTTATTTAATAGCATGGTTTTTATTAAAATAAACTTAGTCCAATTTCTTTGTTATAAAAGTACTAAAAAAAATGGTTATATCAATTCAATTGTAAGAATAAGGCAAAAAGTTCAAGCTGTGACCTCATCATATGAACATCCTCTTTGAAGTCTATTCCTGCCATGGTAATCCTCATCTGTTATTGCTGCAAATCCAAGACCATTTCTTCGTCAATTAATACAGGTTAATGGGGTAATTTGCAATCTTGAATAAAAAAATGTGAGTTTAGGCTAGTTGGATAAGCAGTGTGCCCGTCTTCTCGCACATCACCATTTTTGTAAATTGGAGGAGTCTAGACTGTCAACATATATAGAAAAGAAAAGTGAATTAGGAGATCAACATTACTTACATATGCCACGAAGAGCTCGTTCGACATTGAGAGTAGAAATCAAAGATGGCAGTTCTTTCGAAACATTTCACATACCTTCTCAATTTTTGACTGTCAGATCGAATGAATTAAAAAATATCCATGACAAAAAACTAGCAAAGGTGTGTAAGAAGTAAATATGAGTGTGTGAATAACACTTTTTTTGGGTCGAGTGTGAATAGCACTATCAAACTAAAAATGGAATCTACCACGTAGTGGCCTAGTGGTTGGTGATGAATTATAGACTCGTATTTCACACGGCACATCCTGTGTTCAATTATTGGCGTTGGTGAATCGCACGATGTTGGCCAGGGGAGGCTGAAATGCCTATGTGAGTCTTCCTGATCTTCGGAAAAAAAGTAGAGAAAAACTAAAAGGATAAGTAATCACGATTAAATGTTACGATTATAAATAAGCTTTATGGTCCCTACAACAACCAGTCGTTGTAGTATAGTGGTAAGTATTCCCGCCTGTCACGCGGGTGACCCGGGTTCGATCCCGGCAACGGCGTTGATCTTTTTTTAATTCCGACAACTTTTGCCACTCATTTTGCGTCAATACGACGTCGCACTGCGGTTTATCTTCTTCGAGTTTCATCTCTCTCCCTTCCTCGAAAGCCAAGACTCTACAGTCTTTTCTGTGTTTCTCTTCCCTTCTTCAAATCCAATTCTCAGCCTTTCACGATCCCCGTATTTGGAATCGGGATTGCATTTACTGACACTGATAGCACATGGGTTGGAACGAGGCAACTGGGTCGGGGCAGCAAACCGGCCCGAGCGGGGGAGAACCAGGTCCAAGCAGCAGCAGCAGCAGCGACCCGGGCGCGGCACTGCGGTTCCCACCGGCAGCTCAGCCGGAGATCATGAGAGCCGCCGAAAAGGACGACCAGTACGCCTCCTTCGTCTACGACGCTTGCCGTGACGCCGTCCGCCACCTCTTGGGTTCGTTAATTGCTTATTACGATTTCAATTAAGGTCTTAATTGAGCTAATCGGTACCAACATTCGGCGTTTTGTGTGTTGTAGGTACGAGAGTTTCTGTAGCTTACCAGAACGAGGTTGGGTTCTTTTCAAATTTTTGAACTTTAACCCCTGGGAATTGGGATATTTACAGTTAGCCTCCAACCATGGAGTTCTTCACTCTATCTGTTTTGGGTTTTGGGTTTTGGCAGACGAAGCTTCTTGGGCAAGTGCTTTATTACGTTTTGACAACAGGGTCCGGCCAGCAAACACTTGGGGAAGAGTATTGCGACATCACTCAGGTTGATCCACTTGGCTTCTAATTATCTCACATTTGAAATTCCCTTCTTACTTGTGTAGTTGATCCGAACATGTGCTCGGATAAATGCTCTTAACCGATTGAGCTACAAGCTCCTTGTTTTATTAGTTGTGTAGGTGATTCTAACCCGACCTCGGTTGCAAGTATGAATGCTATTAACCAATTGAGCTATAAGTGCCTTGCTTTGTTACTTGTGTAGTTGACGCTTGATACTGTGTTTTCAGGTTGCAGGACCTTATGGACTGCCTCCAACCCCGGCAAGGCGGGCACTTTTCATTGTGTACCAGACAGCTCTTCCTTATATTGCAGAACGAATTAGGTTCCAACTCCCCACCCGCTTTTTACTCATCTACTTATGTTATTTAGGTGTTAGTTTTAGCAAGCTGTGACTGTGAGTGTACTCATGTCTGTTTTCGAATGCACCGTTGACAGCTCTAGAGCTGCTAACCGTGGCATAGCCCTCGCTGATTCCGAGGAGCTCTATGGCCACAGTGCTTCATTGAGCAATGATGCTCAATCTTCTTCCACTATTCATGCTTCAACTGCCTCTACATCTGGGCCATCTGTTTCAGCTTTGAGAAGATTAAAAGAGAAGTTCAACGGGTTATGGATTTCGTTAGTCCGGCGATGGCCTACGGTATACTTATCCACCTTATCTTTATTTATAAGTTGATTGTTGGGTGGAACTTATGCTATCTTGTTTGGCTATCTTTCTGTGTCACTGCCTTGGATTGGTGATAATATAACGTGGATTGAATGCCTTTTGTAGTTAACATATCTGTGATGATGATCCCTCCAGGTGCTTCCTATAGCTCGAGAATTTTTGCAATTGGTTATTCGTGCTAACCTCATGTTCTTTTACTTTGAAGGTGATTCCTGCATTTAGAGGGTTCATGTATTGTAGTGTAAGTTCTAATAGTGAAATTGGGGAAGCAATTGATTTTCTTGTTGTCGTTGATTCTCTGCAGGCCTTTTCTATCATATATCAAAACGAACAGCAGGTATTCGTTATGTGTTCATCGGAAAACCATCTAACCAAAGGCCCAGGTATGGAGTTCATATTCTAATGGTGTATCCTTTAGTTGCTTCTATAAGAAGTATGCACGAGAGGTTTATCATTTGTTGATGACTCCTTCCTGCTAGTATCAGCAAGTTCTTTCACCTGCACTTGCTCTCTTTTATGAGCTATATATATCATAGATTGAGCATATCTTAGCATTCTGGTGCTCGTAGTTTTCACATTGATGATTGAAAGGATCGGCAGTCATCTGATTTGATTTATAAAAGTAAAACAGATTGAGCACTTCTTAATTGTATAGCAATTCGTTATCCATAAAATTCAGACTCGTTTGATTGGATCCCATGCAGA